TATTTAAGGAAATTGAGTAGTATTACAATATTGAATGTCAGAAAAAGGCTGTCATTAATATACAGGGATGGATACTAGAAATAAGTATAAAATAGTATTAATAGTATTGTAATGCGACTGTGATATGAAGGATGAGGTGGGTGAAAAGTTAAAAGAGAGTAAAAGCAGTTGATTTTTAAGCCAAAAATAGTGTATATGCAAATGTAAATAAATAATTTAAGATACAGTTTTGTAAAACGCAATATGTGATACAAATAAGAACGATATTCTATTCTACTATGTATTTCTTTAACGATTATAAATCGCAAGCTATCGTCGTTTATATATTCTCATAAATATATAGATACTCAACTCCTTCTTTTTCTACAAGCAAGTAATGTTATTTCACTCGTAAGTTTCAATGAATTAATTTATTAATTAATTAACTATCAGTTCATTACATATATACAGCTGTTTTTTTTAAGCAACGATTATTCATGAAGTATGTACACATAACATGGCTTTTTTTTATGTACTATCAAAAGTTAAACTTCATGTATGACAAGGAAAGTTCCATCTATATGTGCGTAAAGATATTACTTCTATTCTGCTAACATTAGAGGTAACAGATAACAGTCAAAAAATCAAAAAATCAAACAACAATAACGACTAACTACTTCATAATCCCACTCTGAGAGCATGGAGGATTGTTTGACCCGTCAGAGGCGCTACTTTTCTTCAATTCTTGTAAATAAGCCTTTAACTATATTCTTGTAAATTGCGCTTTTAACTATATTCGTAAGTATTATTTAAGAACAACAATTTATTTAGTTACTTAATATTTAACTATTAATTATAATAATTTAAACATTTAACAATTACAGATTCATTGACAATAACCAAATCATGGTTGATTATGAGCTCTATTATGAGATGCGAAACATAATAAAGACTGGAAATCTTGAAAAAATGAAACAAATAATAAACAATTACGGGTTATCATATTTTTCGGTTTGGGATAATGGATATCAACTACTCATCGAAGCTTGTGTAAAAAAACAGAGTCATTTAGTAGAGTATCTGCTATCAAAGAATGCTAAAATCAACTGTGACAACGCTCTAATAACACCTCTTCAAGTAGCTGTTTTGAAAAACAATACAAAATCAGTTGAACTACTTTTGGAACACGGTGCTAAAGCTTATGCAAATAAAAATGAAGCACTGCTTCGAATAGCTATTGAACGAAAAAATTTTGAAATTGCAAGACTTCTTTTTAAGCATAATGCTGTTAATAAAAGCATTCAACAATTATCAGATACTTTGGAACGTCCAGCGCTACATTTGGCTGTTCTTAGCGGTGAATATTCAATGGTTAAACTACTGTTAGAAAATGGTTTCAATGTAAATATCAACGATTCTAAAGGATCAAAATCCATTCATTTGGCTATTAGATTTACACTTTTAAACATCGTACAATTGTTGTTGGAGTTTGATGCAGATGTAAATGCAAAAACTGAAGACGGTTATACTCCGCTTTTTCTGACTATAAGTCTCTCTCATCGTCGATACATCAATGACGAATATCCAGCAAGTTCTGAGCGAGACTCTAAGATATTGAAACTCCTCTTAGATTACAAAGCTGACATTAATATTGCTAATCCATATAATATTAGTACCCTTTATTTTGCTAACACTTTTACACGTGAGCACTTTTTTTTTACATTCTGGGATGAAGATAATTTACGAAAAATTGAAGCTTTAATCAGTCAAGTTGTCAAGTTACGAAGTCAAGACTTGTATATTTCAGCAGGTAATTTCCTACAATTGAGGTCGATCAGCGAAAATAGATTCATGAGATACTGCAAAATGTGCTATGGAGAAATGTTTATAATGATTATTGTAAAGATACCAAATACAACCATTTCACTTCACAATTTTATCACTAAAAATGACAATTATTTGGCATCATGTGTGAAGAATGACAATATTAAAAGATTTGTGTTGTCAGATACAATTGTAAATCTATTTCCTATCTATGCATCCACAGTAAGAACTTGTTTTTCAAGAGGAGTGAGGAGAAAATTTTTGTTAGAAGAAAGTGTGAAAATTTTCGAAAAAAATTGGCCTTACCCCTCTAAATTGCTGGCAAATTGTTTAGTATATGTATTCAAGAATTTAAATAACAATGATTTACATGAATTTATATGGATGTTCAAACAAGAAAATTGATGATAAAATAAATATATAATTGCTGATGAAAATAAAGAAAAATAAAAATTTTTTTTACATAAATTTTTCAACTATAAATTAATTTATTGTTACATGTATTTTGTACAAACATATTTTTATATATACAGTGTATAATATTTATTATAATTTTATCGTGCTCAAACAAATAAAAGAAAAATAACAGGAAACAAATAAAGACTACAAATTAATTTATTTGTTTTAAAATCATCATTTAAAATTCAAATACCCAAATTATTTTTTTCTTTTTGAATAATGTACAATGATTTTAAGTACATTCAATTGAGCATTATAAAAATAATGAACACTTTAGTATTCAATGGAAATAATATCTTTTAATTATTATAATCAATTAATAAAACAATAAAAAACTATTTTAAATAATAATTATTATTAAAAAAATAAAGCTATGGAATTATTTTTATTTTAATGTTTTTGTTTTCAAAAACTATGCATTTCTTTAACGATTATAAATCGCAAGCTATCATCATTCATATATTCTCATAAATATATAGACACTCAACAGATTCTTTTTCTACAAACACGTAATGTTATTTCATTCGTAAGTTTCAATTAATTAATTATCAGTTCATTGTGTAATCGAACGAGGTCGCCGAAGGCGACCGAAGCTCGATTATAATTATATTGATAATTTCGTTCGAAGAGATCACTCCCACCCATCTTTCACCCTCCCAGTGATCTCTTCAAATTAAGCTTTAGCTGAACTGTATGAGGATAAATAAGACGGTTACCTGGGAAACGCTTTATATTTGTTTTTACAGTTGAACTTTGTGATGTGAATATGCGTACAAAGGCGGTACTACCTAGTGATCTCTTCGAACGAAATTATCAATATAACAGAGTCATTGTTTAAGCCTTTTCTTAGAAATGCCTGCTGGATAATCGAGCTGCCATCAGGGATAGTTTCGAGGATAAAGGATATTGGATTGTTCTACAAGGAGAAAGGAGAAGATTAGCATCTGGTTGGAAAATAATTGGTTTTGATTCTAGTAATGATAGCCATAAAGGGTACCATGGCTGACCACTCTAATTTGGAACTACTAAAATCCCACAAGCCTGATCTGTTTGGATTTTTTTTAAAGTTTTTAAGATTAGAGAGAAGGGAAGAAATGCAAAGAAATTTAAGTTACTCCAATTAATAGTAAACGCATCAATACATACTGCTAATGGATCACGATGCCAAGAACAGTATTTTTTACATTTTTTGTTAATATTTGAAGCGAAAAGATCTATATTTGGTCTACCGAGTTGTCGAGTAATTTTTTCAAATGCATAGGAAGATAATTCCCACTCGGTATCTATATTTTCAATTCGAGAAGCTCTATCTGCATCAATATTATCCTTAGAAGGAATATAAGAAGCAAATATCCAGATATTTTTTAATTCACACCAAGACCAAATATCAAAAGCTAAATCGTTTAAATATTTATATTTAGTTCCTCCCATTTTATTAATGTAAGCAATGGTGGTAGAGTTATCAATCCTCAAAAGAATCTCACAATCATGTTGATCAGAGGCAAATGTTTTTAGACTGTTAAATGATGCTAAAAGTTCCAGATAATTAATATGGTAGGATTTTTCTCTCGAGTTCCAGTGTCCATAAGCTATTTGTCCATGACAAGAAGCTCCCCAACCTGTTGAGGATGCATCCGAGTAAATAGTCATTTTAAAATTGGAATTTCTAATAGGACATTTTGATATAAATATATTATTAGACCACCAATCGAATTCTTTAATTAAATGAGAAGAAATAGGCATATTTTGATCATAATCATTGTTAGAGTTATTAAGAGCTAAGTAACGTTGTTGTTCGAATGCTTTCGAATGGACCCAACCATAGTTAACAGCTGGACAAGCTGCCGTAATATTAAGAACAAATTGAGAAAACTCTCTGATTGTACAGTAGGAGAGATTTTTGAATTTTAAAATTAAATCATAAATGTGGGATTTTTTTTCATCTGTTAGAGCAATGGTCATTTGATGTGAATCAAATAAAAAACCTAAAAATTTACATAATGTAGATGGGATGAGATTACTCTTAAACTCATTAATTATAAATCCTAATGATTCTAAAAAAATTTTTGAAATTTTTATATTTTTTTGACATGATTCGAATGAATCACCTACCAGCCACCAATCATCAAGATAAACTACTGATGACAACTGTAAGCTTCTTAAATGAATAATAATAGGTTTACAAACTTTTGTAAAAACCCATGGGGCTGTACTCAATCCAAAAGGTAAACAAACAAATTCATAGAGATAATTATTAAAAGTGAATCTTAAATATTTCCAATATTCATTATGTACTGGAATCATAAAATAGGCATCTTGTAGGTCAAAATTAGCCATGAAACAATCTCTAGATATTAATTTTAAAATTGTTCGATAATCTTCCATTTTAAAATGAGAAGTCTCTATGAATTTATTTAATTTTTTCAGGTTAAGAATAAATCTCATTTTTTCATTTTTTTTTAGGAACAAGAAAAATGCTTGATAAAAATTCGCCATCTTCCTCAGAACACTTTTGAATAGCCCCTAGTCCCCCATAGTCAAAAGATCATCCACTTCTTTCTGAATAAGAACATGATCTTCTACTGAAAAGTGACTATTAAGAGGTTTTGACGCCTGAGTGGGAGCAGAAACGAATGGAATTTTATATCCAGAAATAGTTTCAATAATAAAAGGATCAGCTGTGATTTTAGACCACTCAGGTATGAAGTATTTCAGGCGACCAGCAACAGGACTCACCTTTACTTTTTGTTCTGAGTCTGGTTTTGTTGAGCATGAGGGGGTTGATTCTCTGAACGGGATCGAGTCGTCGAATGATTGTTCTTGAAGGCATTCGATTTCCTCATGTACGAAGAACGGTTGTAGCCCGTCTGGTTGGAGCGTGGAGCAGACGGGCTCTTCCAGTTTAAAGAAGTCTTTGACTTTGAAAATTCCTTTTTAGAATTCCGGTTTTTAATAGAAAGACCAGTTTTTTCTACTACAACAGCAGACTTGATTTTTTTAGCTAAATTTTCACCAAACAAAAATTGGTCTGTGGGTGAATCTTCCAATATAGATTTTCTTTTTTCATCAACACAAGGGTATAATTGAGCATGTCTGGATTTAGTCAATTGGAACATTAGCTCACACATCATGGAGCTGGAATCGCAAAGAAGTTGTAAAAGATCTTGTTTGTCTAATGGATCTTCTTCATCATTGAAGATTTGACAAATAGCTGTGCCAAGAGCAACTAAACTTTTTCCACATAAATCTTGGTGATTAGCCAAGTATTTATCACGCGATTTGGACGTTTTATTAAGCAAAGGAAACATTTCCGGGTTGAGAATCGGAGCAACAAGAGGACAATTACTTTTATTAGGGTATTTGTTATCCATTTTTGACTTATCTTCCTTGTTCATGCCTGATGAAAGGATCTCTTTCCAGTATGATACAAGTTCCGGATGAAAATTGAAACTTTTGTCTTTCAAGGATCTTTTTTCAGAACACAACATTTGAAGGACAGGTTCGCTGAGGGTAGGAGCTTCAGGAGCCTTTGTATCTTGCAGCCCGACTGATGTCTTGGGATCATTATTAAGGGAAGGATCAGTTTCCGGTTCCATGTAATTGTCACTTTGAGAAGTGTCATCATCTTTTGAGTCTGCAAGACCATAAGATCTAGGTTAAGAGAAGCTATCAAGTAGAAAAAATAATTTCTCTTGACGCAGAGAGTAGAAAAATTTTTTAAATAAATTCTAACTCTCTATTTTAAACTTAACCCAGTCAAAAAAAAGGTACAACAAAATTAAAAAATTTAATTTTTGTTGCCCAAATAAAAAAGAGACAAAAAATAAAAATAATAAATAATTATTCACCCTCAGAAACATTGTCAGGTTGGTTTTTAACTAGATCTTCCAATGGTCGATCTGTATTCTCCAAATTGAAAAGTTCTTGGTAGAGTTTCAATTTCTTTTGGAGTAACTCTAAATCAGAGTTATTATAAGCTTGACGTTTGTTACTCATTTTTAAATTAGATAGAAACTAATTCTTTTATAATATAAATAGTCAACTGAATAAATTATTTTAAATAAATTAATTAAATTAATTAGATGTTTAAATGTGATGTTCACTTTACAGCGCACAAAAAACGTAATGAGGATAAATAAGACGGTTACCTGGGAAACGCTTTATATTTGTTTTTACAGTTGAACTTTGTGATGTGAATATGCGTACAAAGGCGGTACTACCTAGTGATCTCGAGAACGAAATTTGAAATATAATTAGATATAAATAACTATTGTTTTCACGCAATGATTATTCATAAAGTATGTACACATAACTTTGTCATAATATATTTTTATAAACATTTTCTTTTAATCATTAATATTGAACTTCTTTCATAATAATCAAATTATATTTTTCATGACAACTCAATTAATTATTGTCATGTTCATATACATGAACTAATATTTATATATGTAAAGAAAGTTATTAGTTTTTGTTTTTTACTTTTTTACGTTCGAATATTTTAAACAATGAATAAAAAATTTTAATTAGACTTAATTTTTTTTATCTACTCGACAACTAATTGTTTCACAGTTGAAGTTGAATTTTTCTTATTTAATATTTTTCGTTTTCGAAATTTTTTATACAAAAGTTATTACTTTCAAAGAAAACAAAAAAAAATATAAAATTTATAATTTATAAGTATTCCCGTATATCGATAGATATTAAAAAATTAAAAGATATTAATTTTTATTTGAATAATAAAATAATTATGTAAACGTAATGATAACAAAAATCAATAATTATAAAATTGATATTTTTTCTTTGTCTTTTAATTAAAACTGAAATTTACGCTTTTTACCTGATGTATAGTTACGATAAATTTATAACTGTCAATTGAATTACACAAAAAAATAGTAAAATTATTAGTGATCATTTTTAACGAGGATTTGTTTGGTAATTATTACGTTGATATAACTAATGTGACAATACTATTTTTGACTGAAGCCTTCAGTTCCTTCGATAGCATAATTCAATTTTTCCACCATTTGATCGTAACTTTTATACGGTGGTAAATCCAACCGGTTAAAACAAGTATGTGATCTTGGTAACCAAGTATCCTTGCCAACTTTTTCAATACAGAATCGCTGAGGTTCATTACTTCCTATAAATTTTTATTAAAAATTAACCAGCTGTTAAAGTGTTCAATTAAGGGGTAACACAGGTTTCACGGTTTCAAAAAATCGTTTTTTTTTTTTATGACAATAATGTTTATTCTATATATTCAGAAATTACTTGTGATTTCCTATAGTGAAATTCAAGGAATTAGAAATTAGAAGGATGATTTTGAAAATTCGAAATTTTGGTAAATCTTGAAGAGTGACATTTAAAGGGTTACATTGGTTTCACGGTTTCAAAAAATTGATTTTTTTTAATGTTTTATTGAATTCTACATCTCTATCTAGAATATTGTCCTAAAGTTTCAAATCGATCCAAATAATAGTTTGGGAGATACAGTTTTAAAAATTTGCACACTCAAGAAGCTGTTGAATTGCCATTCAAAACTTTAAACGCGTTTTTGTCAAAACTATGTTTTTAAAGACGGTACCCAAGATTTCTCGAGAACTACTTAACCGATCTTGATGAAATTTTAGACAGGTCTTTGAGATATAATTTACAAGGTCTGGAACGAAGGATTTTTTTTTTTTCAATTACAATTTAAAAAAAAAATGCCGCGAAATTTTAGCCAAATTTTTAATTTTTTTTGTAAAAACCTCTGCTAAAAATCCAATATTCATTTTTTTTTCTTCGCTTAAGACCTAGTTTGAAGTCTTAACTGAAGCACATATTTTTTCTTTTTCATTTAAAATAATCCTGCTAGAAGTCCTGCGGATCACATTAGCAGAGTTTTTAATATTATTTTTTTTTAATTACAGTAATCCCTTATTAAACATCTATCTTCAAGACAGTAAAAAGTTTGAATAAAATATTTCGTTTTTTCTATTGAAAAAAAAAATTGTTGAAAATATGCCATTTTTTCCCGGAGGAAACCCATGTAACCCTTTAACCAATAACTTTAAAATAAAATTATTAAAATAAATAACGTTACCCATTAATTCTGCAAAACCACCAACAGGTACGCGGCAAGTTCCCGTAACAAATTGCAGTAATCTCGCTCTCTTTTCATTGTCTGTCATCCGTACAAACTATAAAAAATTTTACATTGACAATTTTCTGCATAACGCAAGTATAAATAACCATAATAAATAATAAAATAATTATTCATACCTGCCAGAACCACAATACTTGTTTACTACTCCTTGTGTAATGTCGGTAGATTGAATTACGTTGCCAATCATCAACGTCTATTTTCTGCATGCCACAAAGCATCAGTTCAAGTTCACGTTCGTCAAAATACTTGAGCCATTTCAATGGTACAACCGAATCAAAACCTTCCAAAAAGGCTTTTGTTTGTTTTTCGATGCCTCTGGTCATTCTCCACTCTGTCATTAATCTAAAATAATTTATTTCTATAATTAATCGATAATTTATAAAAAATTAGTAATTAGTAATTATAGATAATAAATTTTAGTACCTCATATATTCTTCTTTGTTCTTTTCAACGACTCGGATTTTATCGCCGTTCTCTTTTAATTCATGATGAATAATTTGACCAAGTATCTCAAAATCTACGCTATAATACAATTCTAAACCACACTCGTCAATATTATTCTCCTTTATCCAGATAAGTGACGTGTAAAATTCTGGATCAATAGACTCAATATCTTTCATTATTAATTTTTTATTTAACATCCGTTTGTAAAAAGGCATCGTAAATCCACTATAAATAAACCGTCCATGGAATAAAGCCTAGAAAAAAAAATCAATAAATTAGTTCAAATTTATTTTCATTTCAATCGAATCAATAGCGGTCATTTATTTTTTTTCCAAGATAATATCTTGTGATCAAAAAAATATTAATCTATGACATTTAAATGAAACTTTTTGTACAAATTAAACATAAAAAAAAAAAACGAGCCGAGCTTTACTTTAGAGTTTTGCAATCAGTTATTCAAAATAATACATTACCATTGCAATAAATCTACCGATGAAGTTGAAATATTTTAGATGATCCGGATTGACATAAGACGCTGGATTTATTTGTAAACTATAATTACTCTTATTGGCATACTCAAAAAGACAGTACATTGGATTTAAAACTTCATGGCTCAATAAGAAAAACCACTCTCTAAAATCAGAAAAAAAATTAACAAATATCTAGTTAAATAATATAATAACAAAAATCTTATAAATTTACCTTGAAACTCCACCATAATCAAGTCCCTCTTCACCTTCGAATATAATAGACAACTTTCGTCTCAATGTACAACTTTCAACATTCATTATTCGTTGGTAAGAATCTTCAAAAAGCGTTTGCCTGCTTACGGTAATTTTTAAATAATGAGGTAATGCATTTGTTCGGCACAATGATCTAAATTGCGACAATTTTTCATAAATACTTTTTGGCCTAAAAAAAGAAAAAAAGACATCAAGTAAATAGAAGAAAAAATAAAAATGACTCAAAAAAAAAAGTAACTGAATAATTACTCTTTAGAAGCTCCCGGTCTAGGATCTTGGAATGTAGTAGTACGTGTATTATAATCAATAAAGTATTTAACACCATTTACAGTAAGCCGCATTTCCCAGCCATTAGGCAGAGGGGCTTCAACGATACCTGTTTCTCGTCCCTGAGTTCTAGGGTCCTCCCATTGCAACTTGCTATTATTGTGATTAACATAATAAACTCGTCCTTTTGGCTGTTTTCTACGCTCCCACCCAGCCGGTAAAGGTCCAAGTGCGTCGTCATCGTCGGTGGCAACACTTGTCGACGGACCGGCAACAACAGGCTGTCCATCAGCCTGTGGGTGGAGAAACCTCTGGTTACCTTGCTGAACAACAGACTGCCTCTCACCCTGCCACTGTTGGAAATGTTGAAGTCGCTCTGTATTAGGTCTCTGCCAGGTGGTTCTACGCGTGTTAAGATCAACATAGTAAATCCTACCACGTGGATCACGACGGACTTCCCAACCAGGTGGTAACGGTTGCGGTCTCTTCCAGGAAATGCTGCTTGTATTATGATCGACGTAATACCTTCGTCCGTTGACATGATAGCGCATTTCCCACCCATTAGGTAAAGGTTCCTCGGCTGGTTCAACCTCAGAGATAGATTGCGCAGCAGCTTCAGCTGGAGCCGGCTGAGTTATCGGATCATTTGGCATAAGCACCGTTATTGGTGCATTATCATACTGCTGTCGAGACACATCTGGTTCCATCATTGACGTAATAGCTTGAGAATTTTCGTTACGTCGTTCCGCGAGTAATCTCAATCCAGATGCTGTATTAATTCCAGTGACTCCTCCTCCTCCTCCTCCGCTGGTTATCGTTACCGATGAATTATTGTCATCGTAGTTATTTTCTGACATTCAGAATGATGAATTTGGATTGTCACGTGACGTTACTTTACTGTAACGGTTAATTGCATCATATTGAAAAACAATTAAAAATTATCTGATAAAAAATCGAGATTGAAGAAATTCAAAATTTTAAATAAAAATTTACATAAATTATTTTACATGACAAAATTCAATTTCTAATCTTACAGACACTTAGTTGATTAATTATGACTATTAAATTGAATTTGAAAATTAAACTTATTATCAATAGTTGACATTTATTTTTTATTAATTAACTTGAATTTAAATTTACATAATTATCATTTCAGCGAGTAGCGTTAAAGCAAATGTTATATTATATTTCAATAAAGAACACATTGCTTTATCAAATTAAAAATTTTTAGAAAAATAACTTTGCATAAAGTATCTGATTCAATTTTTGTATTTATTTTTAATTGGTTATTTTTTTTTTAATTCGAATATCAAAAACTTAAAAGATTTTGTTCCTGTCATTTAAAAATAAATAAAATTGTATGAATTTATTTTGAATTCTGAACTTCTTAAATATTTAAATTTTACGATTTCGCAACTTGTAAACATTATAAAAATTACCATGATACTAAAGTTAGCCGACGTTTTTAATTTTTGGATTGTTTTTTAATAATTAAATTAGAACAAAAAAATATTTTTAAAAAATTGCACTTACAGTTTTTCAAGTTTTTAACAAATGACAATTTTTTTTTGTAGCCATCTTTTCAATAAAAAAATTCTTTTTAATTTTTAAATGTCGGCCAACTTAATTTTCATAAAATTACCTGATCTATGCTAACATTACAAAATACTTTATCATACTAAAATGACACGGTATTTCTTATTTACTTTTAAAGGAACTAATGTCATCGAATGAACTCTAAACTAACAAATTGTTAAACACAATATATTTTCAAATATCTACTATAATACTTACAATTTATCAACTTTATATCCAAATTTGAAATAAGTCAACGTTAAGCTCTAATAATTATTTTTATTAGTTATTTAGTTTATTAGTTTATTCCATCAAAAACGTTTTAAAAAGAAATGTCGAAGTTTTTTTGAAATTTCTCGAACGAAATAACCGTTTTGTACCGGAATATATAGCAGAGACCGACGTGATTTTTCGAGGTTAAGAGTTGATTAGTTTTTGGAGCTCTATGTAAATACGGACTATGAAAATTATACACTGTATATGTGTACCGTCTCCACAGTACTGACCTTGCTATTCTAAATTTATGGTTATGGGTGACATTACACATGTTATGAGTATTTTTTGGTGAGTAACCGAGTAAAATATATATACCGCAGGACAGCAATTATATTTTGCACTTGTAACTTTCTGCATTAATTAACTAAATTCGTAAGTATTATTTGAGAACAACAATTTATTTATAATTACTTAATATTTAACTATTAAATATAAACATTAAACAATTACAGATTCATTGACAATAACCAAATCATGGTTGATTATGAGCTCTATTATGAGATGCGAAACATAATAAAGACTGGAAATCTTGAAAAAATGAAACAAATAATAAACAATTACGGGTTATCATATTTTTCGGTTTGGGATAATGGTTATCAACTACTCATCGAAGCTTGTGTAAAAAAACAGAGTCATTTAGTAGAGTATCTGCTATCAAAGAATGCTAAAATCAACTGTGACAACGCTCTAATAACACCTCTTCAAGTAGCTGTTTTGAAAAACAATACAAAATCAGTTGAACTACTTTTGGAACACGGTGCTAAAGCTTATGCAAATAGAAATAAAGCACCGCTTCAAATAGCTATTGAAAATAAAAGTTTTGAAATTGCAAAACTTCTTTTTGAGCATAATGCTGTTGTTAAAAGCATTCATGAATTATCCGATACTTCGGAAGATCCAGCGCTACATTTGGCTGTTCTTAGCGGTGAATATTCAATGGTTAAACTACTGTTAGAAAATGGTTTTAATGTAAATATCAACGATTCTGAAGGATTAAAATCAATTCATTTGGCTATTAGATTAAGACTTTTAAGCATTGTACAATTGTTGCTGGAGTTTGATGCAGATGTGAATGCAAAAACTAGAGAAGGATATACTCCGCTTTTTTTGACTTTATTTCTCTCGCAGATTCGATTCACGGGCGACCAAAATCCAAGAAGTTCTAAAAAAGATGCAAAAATGTTGAAACTCCTTTTAGATTACAACGCTGACATTAATATTGTTGATCCAAATAACTATACTACCCTTTATTATGCTATTCGACATTCATCGGAATTTTTTTCTCTTACATTTTGGAAAGAAAATAATTTACGAAAAATTGAAGCTTTAATCAGTCAAATTGTCAAGTTACAAAGTCAAAATTTTAATATTTCGGCAAGTAATTTACAAGAATTTTCGTCTATCAAAATAGATAGATTTGTGAGGTACGGCCGAATGTGTCAAGAAGAATTGTTGAAAATGGTTAATGAAAAAATACCAAACACAACAATTTCACTTCATAATTTTATCACTAAAAGTGATAATTATTTGGCATCATTTGTAAAGAATGACAATATTGAAGGATTTGTCTTGTCAGATACACTTGTAAATCGATATCCGATTTATGCATCGACTGTAAAAAATTGTTTTTCAAGAGGAGTAAGGAGAAACTTTTTATTAGAAGAAAGCATGAAAATTTTTGAAAATAATTGGCCTTACGCCTCTAACTTGCTGCCAAATTGTTTAGTATATGTATTCAAGAATTTAAATAACAATGATTTACATGAATTTATATGGATGTTCAAACAAGAAAATTGATGATAAAATAAATATAATTGCTGATGAAAATAAAGAAAAATAAAAATTTTTTTTACATAAATTTTTCAACTATAAATTAATTTATTGTTACATGTATTTTGTACAAACATATTTTTATATATATATACAGTGTATAATATTTATTATAATTTTATCGTGCTCAAACAAATAAAAGAAAAATAACAGGAAAAAAATAAAGACTACAAATTAATTTATTTGTTTTAAAATCATCATTTAAAATTCAAATACCCAAATTATTTTTTTCTTTTTGAATAATGTACAAAGATTTTAAGTACATTTAATTGAGCATTATAAAAATCAACACTTTAGTATTCAATGGAAATAATATCTTTTAATTATTATTATCAATTTATAAGACAAAAAAATACTATTTTAAATAATAATAATTATTATTATTATTATTAAAAAATAAAGCTATGGAATTGTTTTTATTTTATTTTTTTATTTTCAAATACTATGTATTTCTTTAACGATTATAAATCGCAAGCTATCATCGTTTATATATTCTCATAAATATATAGATACTCAACTCATTCTTTTTCTACAAGCACGTAATGTTATTTCACTCGTAAGTTTCAATTAATTAATTTATTAATTAATTAACTATCAGTTCATTACATATATACAACTGTTTTTTTCACGCAATGATTATTCATAAAGTATGTACACATAACTTGGTCATAATATATTTTTATAAATATTTTCTCTTAACCATTAATATTGAACTTCTCTCACAATAATCAAATTATATTTTTCATGCCATCTTAATTAGTCATTTTTATATTTATATACACGAACTAATATTTATATATGTAAAGAAAGTTATCAGTTTTTGTTTTTTTACTTTTTTACATTCGAATGTTTTAAACAATGAATAAAAAATTTTAATTAGACTCAATTTTTTTTTATCTACTCGACAACTAATTGTTTCACAGTTGAAGTTGAATTTTTCTTATTTAATATTTTTTGTTTTCGCAATTTTTTATACAAAAGTTATTACTTTCAAAGAAAACAAAAAAAAATATAAAATTTATAATTTATAAGTATTCCCGTATACCGATAGATATTAAAAAATTAAACAATATTAATTTTTATTTGAATGATAAAATAATTATATAAACGTGCTGATAACAAAAATCAATAATTATAAAATTGATATTTTTTCTTTCTCTTTTAATTAAAACTGAAATTTTATGCTTTTTACCTGATGTATAGTTGCGATAAATTTATAACTGTCAATTGAATTACACAACAAAATAGTAAAATTATTAGTGATCACTTTTAACGAGGATTTGTATTGTAATTATTTGATTGATATAACTAATGTGACAATACTATTCTTGACCGAAGCCTTCAGTTTCTTCGATAGCATAATTCAATTTTTCCACCATTTGATCGTAACTTTTATACGGTGGTAAATCCAATCGGTTAAAACAAGTATGTGATCTTGGTAACCAAGTATCCTTGCCAACTTTTTCAATACAAAATCGCTGAGGTCCATTACTTCCTATAATTTTTTATTAAAAATTAACCAGCTGTTAAAGTGTTCAATTAACCAATAACTTTAAAGTAAAATTATTAAAATAAATAACGTTACCCATTAATTCTGCAAAACCACCAACAGGTACGCGGCAAGTTCCCGTAACAAATTGCAGTAATCTCGCTCTCTTTTCATTGTCTGTCGTCCGTACAAACTATAAAAAATTATACATTGACAATTTTCTCCATAACACAAGCATAAATAATCATAATAAATAATAAAATAATTATTCATACCTGCCAGAACCACAATACTTGTTTACTATTCCTCGTGTAATGTCGGTAGATTGAATTACGTTGCCAATCATCAACGTCTATTTCCTGCATACCACATAGCATCAGTTCAAGTTCACGCTCATCAAAATACTTGAGCCATTCCAATGGTACAACCGAATTAAAACCTTCCAAAAAGGCTTTTGTTTGTTCTTCGATGCCTCTGGTCATCCTCCACTCTGTCATTAATCTAAAATAATTTATTTTTATAATTAATCGACAATTTATAAAAAATAAGTAATTAGTAATTATAGATAATAAATTTTAGTACCTCATATATTCTTCTTTGTTCTCTTCAACGACTCGGATTTTATCGCCGTTCTCTTTTAACTCATGATGAATAACTTGACCAAGTATCTCAAAATCTACGCTATAATACAATTCTAAACCACACTCGTCAATATTATTCTCCTTTATCCAGATAAGTGACTTGTAAAATTCTGGATCAATAGACTCAATATCTTTCATTATCAATTTTTTATTTAACATCCGTTTGTAAAAAGGCATCGTAAATCCACTATAAATAAATCGTCCATGGTATAAAGCCTAGAAAAAAAAAATCAATAAATTAGTTCAAATTTATTTTTATTTCAATCGAATCAATAGCGGTCATTTATTTTTTTTCCAAGATTATATCTTATGCTCAAAAAAATATTAATCTATGACATTTAAATGAATTTTTTTGTACAAATTAATTATAAAAAAAAAGCGAGCCGAGCTTTTTTTGCAATCAGTTATTCAAAATAATACATTACCATTGCAATAAATCTACCGATGAATTTGAAATATTGCAGATGATCTGGATTGACATAAGACGCTGGATTTATTTGTAAACTATAATTACTCTTATTGGCATACTCAAAAAGACAGTACATTGGATTTAAAACTTCATGGCTCAATAAGAAAAACCACTCTCTAAAACCAGAAAATAAATTAATAAATATTTGGTTGAATAATATAATAATAATAACAAAAAAATTATAAACTTACCTTGAAACTCCACCATAATCAAGTCCTTCTTCACCTTTAAATATAATATATAACCTTCGTCTCAATGCAAAAGCCTCAGCATTCATTATTTGATGGTAAGAATCTTCAAAAAGCGTTTGCCTGCTTACGCTAATTTTTATATGATTAGGTAATGCATTTGTTTGACACAAGAATCTAAATTGCGACAACTTCCAACGGAAGGAACGTTCATATGCTCTTGGTACGCGATAAATACCTTTTGGTCTAAAAAAAAAAAACATCAAGTAAATAGAAGAAAAAATAAAAATGACTCAAAAAAAAAAAAAGTAACTCAATAATTACCCTTTAGGAGCTCCTGGTCTAGGATCTTGGAATGTAGTAGTACGTGTATTATGATCAACAAAGTATCTAACACCGTCTTCAGTAAGCCGTATTTCCCAGCCATCAGGCAGAGGGGGTTCATCGATACCTGTTTCTTGTCCCTGAGTTCTAGGGTCCTCCCATTGCGTCGTTCTATTTTTATGATTAACATAATAAACTCGTCCTTCTGGCTGTTTTCTGCGCTCCCACCCAGCCGGTAAAGGTCCAAGTGCGTCGTCTTCATCGGTGGCAACACTTGTCGATGGACCGGCGACAACAGGCTGTCCACCAGCCTGTGGGTAGAGAAACCTCTGGTTACCCTGCTGAACAACAAACTGCCTCTCACCCTGCCACTGTTGGAAATGTTGAAGTCGCTCTGTATTAGGTCTCTGCCAAGTGGTGCTACGCGTGTTATGATCAACATAGTAAATCCTACCACGCGGATCACGACGGACTTCCCAACCAGGTGGTAACGGTTGCGGTCTCTCCCAGGAAGTGCTGCGTGTATTATGATCGACGTAATATCTTCGTCCGTAGACATCATAGCGCATGTCCCACCCAGGAGGTAAAGGTTCCTCGGCTGGTTCAACCTCAGCGATAGGTTGCGCAGCAGCTTCAGCTGGAGCCGGCTGAGTTATCGGATCATTTGGCATAAGCACCGTTATTGGTGCATTATCATACCGCTGCCGAGACACATCTGGTACCATCATTGACGTAATAGCCTGAGAATTTTCGTTACGTCGTTCCGCGAGTAATCTCAATCCAGATGCTGTATTAATTCCAGTGACTCCTCCTCCTCCTCCGCTGGTTATCGTTACCGTTGAATTATTGTCATCGCGGTTATTTTCTAACATCGGGAATGATGAAGTAGGATTATCACGTGACGTTACTTCACTGTGACGGTCAATTGCGTCATCTCGAGAATTCTCAATTGATAAACGAGATGAAGGAGCTGAATTTTCATCAGATTGAGCTCCAGCTAATCCTACGGTGTGGATATCACAAGCATATTTAGGTAAGCGTGATCCAGCGACGTTTGATCTTGACGATCCGTTACTGGACTCACCAGAAGTCCGGATAGATCCGACTACTGTTCTGGGTGCTGAAGATGCACTTTCGGCGAGCGGCGGCAACCTTGCAGACAAAACTGCGTTTCCCATTACGTTACGTGACGTTCCGTTGGTATTCACCATAACGGATTGCCCAAAATCGCTAGGTTCGTAAACTAAATACGGGCTGCGGTGTTGCGTGGGTGCTGTGTTTTCAGTCCCCTGGCCACGCATCAACGCCCGGATACCTCCATTTAATATACTGCGGTTATTTGCCGGATCGGCAGAATTCGCAGCTGCTAATGGGTGCGAACCGATTGACGATGTACAACCTGGTTGACGCATTTGCTCTATTACTGCTGGTGGTGTTACGGTGGACATATCAATTTTTAAACCATCGAACAGTGTTACTAATTCACCGACTTTGGCTAACTGCGAATCGTGTTTACTCTCGTTTATTAAATCTAGGGTCAACTCTAAGTTTTCAAGCTTACCGCTGTAATGCGATAAAATTTGAAACAGACTTATGCGTTTCTCGCCAATCATCGTGTCCTTGCGAAACGTACTGTGATCTAATAAACGAAAGTGTAACTGAGAGTATGGTGTCACGAGAATTGTAAACTCTTCGTTCCATTTTGGCTGATAAGTTGCTTTAGATACTTCTGTTTTTCGAGGACTTTTGTCGTCCACGGAAAATTCCACGTAAGGATTTGGCTTTAAAAATGATGAACTACGCAGTATTGCAGCTTCAACTGAAAAATTTATCAATTTTATTTTTGTTAATATTTTATTTTTAAACAATTAAGAATCACCAGATAAAGGATCGAGATTGAAGAAATTCAAGATTTTAAATAAAAATTATTTTTTGTTCAATTGCTCGGTTGGAATAAAAAGATTATATTTACATAAATTATTTTACTTGACAAAATTTAATTTCTATTTTTACAGACACTTAGTTGATTAATTATGACTATTAAATTGGATTTGAAAATTAAACTTACGATCAATACTTGACATTTATTTTTTATTAACATTCTTAATAATTAATTTGAATTTAAATTTCGTAATTATTTCAGCAAGTAGCGTTAAAGCAAAAGTTATATTATATTTCAACAAAGAACAATTGCTTTATCAAATTAAAAAGTTTTAGAAAAATAACTTTGCATAAAGTATCTGATTCGATTTTTGTATTTATTTTTAATTGGTTATTTTTTTTTAATTCGAATATCAAAAAACTAAAAGATTTTTTTTCTGTCATTTAAAAATAAATAAAATTGTAGGAATTTATTTTGAATTCTGAGTTTCTTAAATATTTAACTTTTAAGATTTCGCAACTTGTAAACATTATAAAAGTTACCTGAGCTATGCTAACATAACATTACAAAAGACTTTATCATACTAAACTGACGCAGTGTTTCTTATTTACTTTTAAAGAAACTAATGTTATCAAATGAACTCTAAGCTAACAAATTGTTTAACACAATACATTTTCAACTATCAACTATAATACTTACAATTTATCAACTTTATATTCAAACTAAAAAAAAAAATTATTAACGTTTCTAAGCATCCGATAATATTTTAATTTTTTTTTTCTAAATCCTAAAAAATTTTTGATTTTTTTTTTTTTTTAATTAAATTACAACTAAAAACGAATATTTTTAAGTAAATTAGCACTTATAGTTTTTCAAGTTTTCTAACAAGTGATATATTTTTTTTTAATTGTTTAATTGAAATTTTTTGGATAAAAAAATTTCTAAAAATTTTGAAATGTCAGCTAACTTCATTTTCATAAATAATTATAAAGTAATAAACTTACTAGTAATACTGAGCTGATGAAATCCTGGGGAAGTTCCTACTTCACATTGAGACATGATGCTCAATTTATTGAATTACTGTTACAGTATTTTATTTTTCAGCGGCAGTAATCATAACATCCTGCTTATCTCAATACTGTTATTTCCTTAAATAAAAAAAAATAATTTCTAAATTTTCACAACAAATAATTTTTGATATAAACATCTACAGAATTAAATAACAGAAATCGTGTCATGAATTATTATAAATTAAATGAATATTTTTAATCAATTGTCGCTACTCAACCGAAACTGATTTTTAATAATAAAATTTCACACTCATACTCACTGAAGTATTCATAAATATTTATATAAAAGAAAAAGTATTATTACTCATAATCATAATGTTTATGTAAAAAAAACAAAAATAATAGTTAATTAACAATTGAAATTAATATTGTAATTACGCTCTGAAAAAAAAATGTATACTCTAATGTAATTAATAGAATAAGAATCAGTATAAATCATATACATACATATACACAGACACTTACAATACATGTATGATAATTATATATTTAAAGACGATAAGTAATATAAGGGAATGATAAAAAATAATAATGTACATTAATGATTAGTCATACAAATGCCAAGGAAGCATAACTCGTAATTGAAAGATAAATTTAAACGGACAAACGAAAACTAAAATTGTCAATTACACTGTACACGTATATATCAATTCATACTTATATATATATATATATATGGCTTTGTGTGTATATTATGGATATTAAAAATATTAATTTAATGCCAGGAATTTGATGTTTATCATACTAACCTAAATGTCTGATAGTATTTATCCAGTATAAATTATTATACATTGCACATTCACAACACTATTTATTGATATTCGCTGTTGTTAATTGTTTTTAATAGTATCTATTATTATTTTTTTTGCATTATCATTGATGAAGAGTGAACTTTACTATCAGTGAACCACCATTTTGCCATACGTCAAAATGTATATAGAAAACTAGATCTCCGTTCTTTGAAGAAAAATGAGTATCAACATTTATATGTTGCAAAGAGGAAAGACGAAGAGGATAAAAAATATTACGAATTTACGATAAAGAAGAACGGAAGAACCACGGAAAAGACTCAATTACATCCTCAAGATGGCGCTCTTGGCTTAATTAATAATAGCGCGATGATTTGATTTTTTTTTTTCAATCTATCCAGAAATATAACATTGTGGGTCAGTTTTTCAATCCAAGATAAAATTTTATCCAGGATAAAATTATTATTGCCAGTATATTTATATATATGAAGTATATAGATATATTTTATCATTGGATAAAATTTTATCCTGGATTGAAAAACTGGCCCTGTGTTAGGGTAAATGCACCAATTATTGACCGATTAAGGTTTTCTTTTTCTGTACTAAGCTATAAAAAATCTATTAACCTACTAAAAACAATTTGTAATGGATTTTATTAAAGTTAAATACTTAATTAATAATAATTAATAACTATTTATAATAAAAATTAACAAAATTATATTAATTTTGTTATTTGAAT